ATATTTATGTTTTTCTCGTTGACTTATACGTATCGCGATTTGTTGCGCTCATTTGTAAGCGATTTTTAAAATTATAGTTTAGCTATAAACGGGTTGATCTAGTTTTTGCAACACCTCTCTTCGCTTTAAACAGTTGTAGCTTAGTGCTATGGCTTGGAAACCTCACTGATGCTTTCAGCGAGACGTCTGGTAATGCACAGACCTTGTCCCGACTTCGGACAAGGTGATAACAATAAGGTCGAACCGCCAATACGACCAAGTTGCAAAAATGTTTAATGTTGCGGTTTCGGCTGGTCCATTATTGGTATCAGGAAGAATGTGTAATTTTTAAAATAAATTTGACATGAGGCATATTTCCGCTTTGTGGTTTGAATGTTAATGTTACCTTATGAGGTTGCTTTTTTAGTTGTAAGTAGTATTTATAATGGTTGAGCTCACTTCCATTTCGAATGAAAGTGTTTGGTGAAGCGATTCGGAGGTCGATGCAACCAAAAGACGACGGTGGATTCCTATTGACCAACTATTGACCGACTCTACTGGAACATTCTTGTAGACGCTGTTTTCGAGGCCATCTCCTTTGCTTCGATTGAAAACGTGAAAAGCTTTCGTTTGTCGCATGACAGACATCTTCAAAGCAGGATATCATCTCTACAAGATATGAAGAAAAGGTCGGCTTCGAAGACTTCCTTAGTGATATATTATTACATGACTTTCTATTTCAAAGAAAATTTTGCTGAAGGTAATTCTTAATGTGGTTTCACCGAAAGTTAAGGGAGGATTGTCACGTAGGGAAGAGTTTTACTGTACTAAGAAGTCCATGGCTCACCGTCCTGCGACTCAAATGAGTCTGAACTAAGCCTTCGTCTCATTAGGTGTAAACATGATGTCGGCTTTCTTTTCTCTTGGTTTAGTATGCTTTTTTTGCTCTATTTCGTAAAGTATGGATTCCAGCTCTGATTATGTCTATCATCGTATAGCCAAAGATTTCTTCGCACAATACAACAGTCTTCCGTATCCTTCGGTTTCCGGTGAGACCACATCACCCATTCTTTCCAAACAACATTTCCTTCGGAATGGAAGTTCATTTCACTTTATATATTCCATTCCACCATCTTCAGGCTAACAAGTCGAGAAAACGCACCAGCTTAACTCTAAATGCTGTATATATATATATATATATCCTATATTTAAGCTTTTTGATGAGACATAAAGGGATTTGGCTGGTTCAAGTTTCATGCCAACCTTGAAGCATGTAGGTGTGTCTGCCTGTGAGTGTTTATGCGCTTTCATGCGTTCGTGTATGTATAAAACGGGACGTCTGTTCTCGGCCGTGAAGGTTAGATGAGCATAATTTGAATACGGTTCTAAGAATGATACCCAACTATAATGAGTATCTGTCCTATGACGGACGAACTCTCAGCACGTTTTCACCGGAATCGAAGGAGATTGCCGCGGAAACAAGAAGTTCCAGAAAAGCCAATCTACAGCTGGTAAAGAGGAACGCTCTGTCCTCTTCAGGTGAGATCGACTTTCAAATCTCTTTATCAAACACTTTCACTCAAAATGGGAATGAGCTGAACAATTATAAATCAGAAGTGTCCTCGAAGTCCAACTTTTATTCGCATAGTATTTACAAGCTTGCATAATAATTTTATTACGTCTTGCTCACCCCGAGGCTAAAGGCCGTCAGGTCAGCCTGCATACGTGGGTGGGTGTTTATCGCGGCCGTGTCGCCCGGCAACACGGAGAAGTGGTGCGCAAATACGGCCGTCTGACTGCCATTCGGGACGACATGATGTGGATGCAGTTGATGCTGATGCTGGTGTGGGTGTATCGGTTGTTGTTGGTGCGGATGCTGATGTTGGTGGTAGTGAGAATGATGCTGAGGCGGCCGGTGTTGAAGAGGTGGGTGTCCCGGGAAGAAGGGCATCTGACCATGAAGGTGGAGGTCGTGTAAGGTGGCCGGTGGCTTCAGCAAATGTGTCAGACCGGCTGGAGGCAATCTCGCCAGCGGTGCTGGTGGTGGCGGCGGTGGTCCGGCAAGTCCGTTGGCGGCGGCCACCACGGCCGCCATGAGACCTTGTTGGTGCTGCAGGGCCGCAGCCAGTTGGGCCGACTGCATGACTGCGGCCAACTGGTAGGCCTGTCCGTTGACAAGTCCGGTCAGACATTCGGCCGACGGGAGCATCGGCATGACCGACTGTTGTTGGAGCCGGTGTTGGTGCGGCTGGTCGGCGGTCCGACCCGGCGACTGACAGCCTCGGGACAACGGCGAGCTCGAGGTTGTCAGCCCGACGTCATTGGCGATCGGCGGTCCCTCCGGCGCTGATGGTACCGACGGTGGCGGTAGAAGGCCGGTGAAGAAGAGGCCGGTGGGATGCGCTGCCGCCGAGGGGCCTGGTCGCGTCTGCCGACGAGCCAAGACGGTGTAGTTGGAACAAGCGAGCAGATGGTTGGCGAGTGATGTTCCGCCGGCTTCGCCGCTGGCCGATTGGGGACTGACCGTCGGGCCCGTCTCGGCCGGACCGGGGCACGGACCCGGGACCAAGGTCGGCAGAGCGGGGAGCGTGGCAAAATGGCAGGTGGTGAGGAGATGCGGTGCCGCCTGCGGCTGGAGACGAGGCTCTCGCAACATCTCGGCCAGCTGAAAAGGCAAGGCCATCGGGTTTGACGTCTGCTGAAAACACAAACAGTTGATCTGAAGGGCAGTTCTACCAAGGCGACTGCGGTTGCTATGCTCTAGTTCGCGCTTAGGCTGGCCACGGAGTCAAAGTGACTTCGAAAAACGTACTCATTTCTAATGAGATGTATTCACCCTATTTCGTGTAAGGTGATGAAGGACTGGTAGTAGAATTTTCCCACA